GTGTGTGTGTGTGTGTGTGTGTGTGTGTGTGTGTGTGTGTGTGTGTGACTAGTGATTAAACCTGGAGCTCTTTCATACAAGTGATCTACCACTAACTTATAATAACCTCAGCCCAGAAGCTAGAGTTCTGATTGTGTATGACTTCTTCATCTGTTTACTGTTTACACAAGCCAATATTCCAACCTATCCTTGCTCAGGGAGCCAGCATGGGATTGGGCTCTGGTGTCCACATATGAACCTTATCTACCATATCCATGATATGGGATATTTTCAACTCTACCACATGTAGGGATGAAAACCTTCTAGCCGCCCTGTACAGGCCATTCTCTTATCTCCAGTGCTTAAGGAGTTCATTGTACTTAATTGAAACTTTTATACATGTCCATGCCCCCCACACACACACACGCACACAAATTTGGTATCCACAGCTTCTAGGCCTGGCCAGTGATATAAGGAACATGGTCTATAGATCAACTGAGAGATTGAGATGAAGATAAAGGAAGCAGAGAAGGATAAGAAGAGATAAAAGAGGCAAGAGGAGATACAAAGACACAAAGAAATGAGAGAGAATGAGCAAAAGGGTCAAGACCATGATGGTGATACCCACAGAAACAGCTGACCTGAGCTAGTGAGAGCTCACTGACCCTGGAGATGCATAGGACCAAACTAGGCCCACTGAGTATTAGAGACAGTTGTGAATCTTTGGTAGCCTGTGGGACCACTGGCAGCGGGACCAGGAATTATCCCTAGTGTTTGAACTGGTGTCTTGGAGCCTACTAGCTTTGGAAGGATACCTTGCTCAACCTAGTTATAGGGGGGAGGGTCTTGGTCTTACCTCAAAGTGAAGACTCAGACTCTGTTGACTGCCATGGGAAGCCTTTCTGAGGAGTGGATGGGGGAGGGGGGAGGGCGAGGTGGGAGAAGGGGAGGGAGTGGTAATGGGGATAGCTATGTAAAATGAGAAAAGATTGTATTTAAAAAATTGTTTAAAAAAGAAATGAGAGAGAGAGACTGATTTTGAAGGAGAGGTGAGTTTGAAGGGAGACATGGAGAATATGTATCTAAATGCCTCAAGGCAACTAAAAGCAGACCTCAGCCCACTCAGAAAGCACAAGGCTCTCCCACCCCATCAAACCCACGGTGGCATCAGGAAGGCAGTGACTCACTCTCTGAGTCACACATTCCCACTCCTGAGCTCAGAAGGTGACATATGTATTCATGGAAGTCTTTCTACCTGCAGAGAAGAGCCCAAATCTTGGCCCCTTCCCAGCCAGGGGAGACAGAAGGAAATCCTAAAATACTGGCTTCTGGAAGTCTCTAGTATCTTCTAGAAAGGGAAATTGGAAACTAGCAAGTGCCAGAGATGAAAGACAGGTTCTGGCAAGGCTGATGCCGGTGTCTGTATTTCGTCATCTCCTTCTGTCTCTTTTCTGCGCTCCTCTCTTTGGGCCCCTTTTCTCTGAAAGCCTGGGGTTTCATGCTCATCTTTTTCTCTTTTTCCTGTTTCAGCTTCAAAGAAGCCTCTTCCTCCTACTCCTGAAGACAACAGGGTAAGTGAGGTGGGCTTGCGTGCGGTAAGCCTGTGACCTCCCTGTTTCTCAGATATGTGTGCATCTCGTAGACAGTTGCAATTGGGTATATTTAACACATGGGGTTTGGGGGCTGGTCAGTGCAGTGGGTCTCAACCTTCCTAATGCTGTGACCCTTCAATACAGTTCCTTATGTTGTGGTGACCCCCAAACATAAAATTGTTTTTGTTGCTACTTCATAACTGTAGGTTTTCTACTGTTAGGAATCGTAATGTTGATATCTATCTGATTTGTGACCCCTGTAAGCAAGTCATTTGGCCGGGGTTGCAACCCATGGGTTGAAAAATGTTCGTTTAGTGGGTCTCTTCACTCAGAGGATCACTCAGGTCCTATACCCAGTCTACAAGCACTGCTACCAAGCTGTCTTTATGCTTCAACATATAGCACTCCAGAGACAAACACCTGATAATTCTTTCTATACTCCAAAGCACTTCCGCACATTTGCTATTTATGATAAAATTGTGTCTTCTACCCACTTTGAATAGTTATAATTTTATCCTTGCTTTTAAACTTAGCAAGCCAAGTACCAAGGAGTCTCGAGGTCTTTCCGGGGATACCTGCCTAGGGAATGATGCTGCCCACAGTGAGCTGAGCCCTCCAACATCAATTACAACAAGACAGTCCCCCCAAGACATGCCCATAAGCCAGTCTGAGCTAGGCAGTTGCTCAATTGAGATTCTCTTCAGAGATAATTTTTAGTTTCTTTTATGTTGACAGTTAAGGCTAACCAGGACCTGCTCTACTTGAGGAAGACTGTGGAGTTACCCTCCAGAGGGACAGGGTAGCTGTTGTTAGTCAAGATGGAAGATACCCATGGTCAGAGGAACCTGTACCCTTGGCCTTTCTATCCTGTGGATGCAAATGAGGCCATGTCCAGATGGCCAGAACCAGTTATTCTTGGTTCTCTCATCCACAGAGCTCATCCCCTCCTGTCAGGCTTCTCCTGGTTAACCCAGAGGGGCTTCCTAAGGAGTCACATAAATGTGTCTGCCTGTGCCCTTCTCCTTGGCACCCAGTCAAGGAGCCCTTTTCTTGCCACTGCTGCCTGGCCTATAAAGTCTTTCAGCATAGTGGGGCTCTGCCCACCTACAGCCAGGAGAGCTCCCAAGGCCCAGAACTGTTCTTAACCATGCAGTACATAGAGAGACCAACAAATGGGTCCCTCATCTCCAAGCCTCCTCTTTGCACCTGGAGCCTCAGCGAACCCTTCTTGTGCCTGTTGGCCATCTGTTTCTACAAATGCCAAGCCTTGATTTAATTTGGTGATTCTCTACCACCTCAGACCTAATGCCCCCTTTTTATGAGAAATATTTTGTAAAGAACCTTCTGTTGCCATGGGGGGGCGGGGGGATGATTCGTAAGTAGGGGCTGCAGAGATGGCTCAGCAGTAAAGAGCAATGACTGCTCTTCCAAAGGACTCAAATTGTGTTCCCACACACATACTGGGTTACTCACAAGCAGCTGCCTGAAACTCCAGTTCCAAGGGATTCAATGCTTTCTCCTGGCTTCCGAGGGCACTAACCACCCATATGTCATGCACACACAGAGACACACAACACATGCATAAAGAAAAAGAAAAATATTTTTAAAATCTTAAATAACACAATTTATGTAAACATACTTCTTAAGAGAATCAGTAAGTATGCTCATTGTAATAGTGAAAACAGGAAAAAAACAGAATAACTTACATTCCTAAATGTCAATATGGAATCATGGGTGTGACAAAAAAAGCAAACAAACAAACAAACAACAAAAAAAAACAATGGCCAAGCCCCATAGATGGAATCCATTGAAACTGTCAACTCAAGTGCGATAGATACAGGAATGTCTTATTGATGGCTCAGCTCTAGTGAGTCCATGAGTGATACGATTTTCCAAAATGGTGAGCAATTCCGAAAAGAATTCTAAATTAAAACAAGGGTAAGCACCCTCAGTGCACAGGTAGTGCACTCCTGGGAAACCCATCTTGCTTTCAGGTCTTCTGAAGACCTGTATCATAAAACTCATAAAATGAGCTGTTCATTGTGCAACAGAGGCCTCTTGTATATCATACTTATTGCAGGGTTTTCACCATGTGATTATCTATTAGGACTCTCAGAAGCTGGAAAGTCTATGAGATATTGCAGAACATTTTGTATTCTTGGCACTCACCTATTAGATACCTGTGGTACCCCACAAACTTGGTACCACCTGAGTATCCCACTATGTGCTCTACATAACCCCTGTAGAAATGTATCACCGTTGTCTAAACCTCTGTGCCAACCCTTTTCCTTTAAGGGTCAAGTGGGGAGTTGGACCTACAGTAACATGAGTAGCATGTCACTTCTGTCCCTTCTTCTGGTGCCTTGAACACAGTTTCTCCATCCGTTAGTTCTCTGCAAAGCCTCAGGTCCACAGATGCTTGGCTGTCTGGAGGACCCAACCCACCACCTATTTCAAGCTCTATAAATACCCAGACTTCAGTGTACTCAGAGAATTTATGACTCCCCAACACTACCTCACCTTCCAGCCAACAGCTCAATCTTTTTCCATGTTTACTTTGTTCCCAAATCTGTCACTCAGTCTCAGGTGTGCTCATCTTGACCTCTGGAGGTTGTTTGCCTTATGAGCTAGCTGTTCTTCATGTCATTAAGATCTCATCCTAAGTGAAATGCGATATGTGTCTTAGCGTTTCTATCGCTGTGAAAAGATGGCATGACCACTGCCACTCTTATAAAGGGAAGTATTTAATTGGGGATGGCTTACAGTTTCATAGGTTTAGTCCATTGTCATTCTGGTGGGAAGCATGGCAGCATGCAGGCAGACATGGTGCTGGAGAAGGAGCTAAGAGTTCTACATCTTGATCTGCAGGAAGCAGGAGACACTCTCAGCCATACTGGGTGTAGCTTGAACATAAGAGACCTCAAAGTCTGCCCCAACAGTGACACACTTACTCCAACAAGGCCACACTTCCTAATAGTGTCACTCCCTATGGACCAAGCATTCAAACACATCAGTCTGTAGGGGCCATCCTTATTAAAACCACCACAGTGTGGGACAGAGGCATAGGTCAAGGTTTTTGCAAAAGGAAGAAAGGAGCCCTGTGTTACTGTAGAGGGAGCATTGAGCTGAACTCTCTGGGAGCTGGCTATGTCCATTCCCTGCCTTGGGATCTCATTCCACATTCTAAATGAAAGCATTGGCAAAATGGGCTCTTGAGGGAATTCCAGCCCTGGTAGCGTCTAATTAGATGTATCTGGGTAGGCCCACAAATCAAATAAGCCAATATAGAAACCAGTAGTTGTCTATGAAAAGTACATGACTTCTTGGGATTACCAGGATCAGAATTTACCTCACAGAATGACAGAGGTACGTATGACTGCTGTTTGCATCTGTCAGCCCCATAATTCTAACTCATAAAGAGTACCGACTTGAGGAAGGCAGCTGTCTCCACAAATGGCCCCAGAGGATGAAGGGAGCTGGTATGTTGACCTAGTCTAAACCCAGAACCCCAGGGACTCACCCCTTTCTTATAGCCCTGTTTGGTTTTGTTGTCTCTTCCCAAGCGGTCACTTCCGGAGCCTGAAGAAACCGTGGTTATTGCCTTGTACGACTACCAACCCAATGACCCCCAGGAGCTCGCACTGCAGTGCAATGAGGAGTACTACCTGCTGGACAGCTCCGAGATCCACTGGTGGAGGGTTCAAGACAAGAACGGGTAAGACAAGTGCATGGCTGCTGTGGGAACGGAGCAAATATGGGGAGGAACACCCATGTCCTTCAGCTGCCCTGAGGTTGTGTTAGGAAAGCAGAGCTAAGCACAGTGGAAGGGAGAGAGGAGAGAGCTGGCCATTTCTCTTCTCCAAAGTAGCAGAGAGGCTTCCACTTGCCATACTTACTCCCTGTCCCATCTTAACCCTTCCCTGTCCTCGACCCATCTAAAAGCCCTTGGATTTCCACTGGATTAACAGTTTGGGGGCTTGGCAACTTGCTCTGTGATGTTCTTAAGTTTTTAAATACATCACATTGTGAAGTAAGTGGGGGAAAAAAGGTATATCAAGATGGCAGAGAGAATCAGTTATGTTAGAAAGTCTCAGATGGCACCAGAGAATTCATTATGAAAGCAATCATTAAATGATACATAGAGACAACAAGGTTCTACAGTACTAATGATCTACTCTGGGGTTTTGAATGAAAAACATCTCATGAGCCCTTCTCTAATCTAAAACAATTACCATGACCAATGTTCTTATATATTAATGTCAAATGTTAATATTATGAAATTTTTATTTTGAAACTAGAAAAAGAATATCTTCTAGTACTGAAGCATCACTACCCCATGTCAATATTTCATTTTTTCTAAATATAAAAACCATCTAAGTGTGTATGCCATGCATGATGCCCTTGATTCAGTCCTCTGCAATGAAGCAAGAAAAGAAATTTAGAAAGTAAACTCACTGTAGAAAGAAGCATACATGAAAAGCCATCAACTCCATAATCACTGCTAATACTTCCGAATGTGCCTAGACACAAGAATTGGTCATAACAAGTGAATTTTGTGTATTTTGCTCAAATGATTCATTCTGTTCTTTGCCTTTATCTTTGTATCATACCTCTTAGAAATCTTTTCATATCAATAATTACAAACTCACCTCTTTTTAACATGTGAGTGTTCTGCCTCGATGTATATATGTGTACTATGTGTGTGATTGACAACTACAGGTATCAGAAGAAGACACTGAATCCCCTCAAACTGGAGCTACAGATGGTTGTGAACTACCATGTTGGTGCTTCTAGGAGTCAAACCTAGGCCCTCTGCAAGAACAAGAAGTGCTCTTAATCCCTGAGCTGTTTCAGTAGCCATTCTCTGTTATTTTGAACAAACCTGGTAATGTTTATGTAACATGACAAGCTTTGGGATGTGTACATATATGCACACATATATGTCAGTTATAACTATGGAAATGTTAAGTCAGAGTATATGATGTTTTAATTTTAACAGATAATTTCTACGAAAATATTACCAAATTAGCATACTCCCCAACAGGACATAGAGGAGTCAATGCTGACGAGTATTAAGCTTCGGAAGGCTGGGGGAAGAGTCTATTTTTGTTCATCTTCTTGTACTTTGGTAGAATCTGGAGATATTTTAGATGGAATCAAGCTTAAATCATTCATTTCACTCCTAAGAACTGGAAGCCGACAGGCGGTGGTGGCACGTGACATTAATCCCAGCACTTGGAAGCCAGAGACAGGCAGATCTCAGTGAGTTTGAGGCCAGCATGGTCTACCAAGTGAGTTCCAGGACATCCAGGACTGTTACACAGAAAAACCCTGTCTCAGGAAAGGGAAAATAAACAAAAAAACAAAAAATAAATTGGGAGCTAAAAGAGTTGAAGGAGCTCTTTACCTGCTTTCTGGTGCTGAGGGGTGACCATAAAGTAGCTTCAAGATCTACAAAACTATACACAATGTAAAAAATGTTGATAATGCTTATTAGCTTTTTGTCATGGTTTTTTTTTTCCATTTCTATACTATTAATTCCAGCTCAAATGTGACATTTGGCCTTGGAATCCAGCTTGACCTTGACCATTTTTTTTTGATCTTATGCAGGGTCTTACACTGTACTTCAGGCTGGCCTGGAACTCACTGTGTAACTGAGGCTGGCCTCACATTCACAGCTATCCTCCTGCTTCAGCCTCCTGAGTCCTAAGATCACAGGCGTGGACTCTCTGCTCAGCTTGACTATATCCTTGATCTCATGGTTCTTTCTCTGAAGATGCTCAGCTAGGAAGGTCTTAAACTGAAAAGTGATCAGCACTAACTGGGAATGGTCTTTAGGGACCTGTGGTTGGAAAGTTGGGTTCTTATGTCTGAGTTTACTTTTACTCCCTTACTGGAAAATGATGGCATAAAGTGGAAAAATATTGATTATCACAAAAATTAATTGTAGAAAATAAAGATTGAAAGATATTTTTTCCAGTAGAGGAAATTTCATGATGAGAACAGCAATCGGAGCCTTTAAAGTAAATGGCCACTTCTTCTTTACTGCAGTTTGTATTCTGCGGGGGAGTGTGTTGCTCTCAACTGAGCTTACCTTTGTCACTTTAATCAGCTGGTCTACCCCAAAAATTTTTTATGTTTTATCACAAGTGCCTAATAATGTGAGACTTCCCACTCTTAAATGACTTTTGTGGATTAAATCTATTAAGTCAAAATGTAAAAATCACTTCTCTGCAAGTCTGAACACTTGTTTTCCTTTTTACAGGCATGAAGGATATGCACCAAGCAGTTACCTGGTGGAAAAATCTCCAAATAACCTTGAAACCTATGAGTAAGAGTTTTTTTTTTGAATCATTTACTTATTTGTTTATTTATTTGTTTATGAAAACAGGGTCTTATTGTGTAGCCCAGGTTGATCTGAAATTCACTATGGAAGCCAGGCTAACCTAAAGCTCAGAGATTGGCCCACCTCTGCATCCTAAGTGATGGGGTTAAGGACGTGTGCCAGCACACCCTGCTTCGACTAGTTTTTTTTAGAACTATGGTACTATAGTTTTTTTCCCTAGGTCAAGCTACTGGTTGACTATAAAAGTTTCCCCAAATTCCTTTTTTTTAAAAAAATTTTGTTTTATTCTATTCTCTGACTGTTTAACCCAAATGGGGAAAAAAAGGAGTGTGGACAGTGTACTACACTCCCCTTTTATTAAGGAATGGTTCTTGGGGTCTTGAAAATATTCTGTAGAAAAGAAATCTTTGAATGAGAATCCCAAGTTTTGGTCACTCGAGAAAGCAAATCCCTATGAATATTGGATAAAATATCAACTGACTTAAAACATCATTAAACATAATATTGCCAATATCAGGACAACATTAAAACCCACAGGTAGTATCTGCTTAGGCTGTGCTATGTTTATCAGTAAGCCATCACTTAGGAGAAAAGTTTATGGGCTCAATTTTAGTGGAAAAGTTAAGTGTTTGTTTGGTAAAATTCGATAGAGTGTACAAAGTACCCCCTGTGCGTGTGTGCTCCCTAGTGCGTGTGTGCTCCCTAGTGCGTGTGTG